GGATGGTTGCATCTTGCCCGAGTTGTCGAACATTGCCTGGGAAGTAGTAGCCCAGTTGGTTTTCTGCTAGCGGCCCCAAACATGCATTGATGAACCTCTTGCCGGTAGCCCTTGCGCTAAACAGCAACTGGACGCTCAATGAAATTAGAGGCGATCTCGTGCCAAAAACCAGGAGGATATATCTCTGCCGGAATAGCTTTGCTTTCACCTACCTCCCCAGGCACACTCAGCCCCCAATGTTTGCGCGGATGGTTGCATCTTGCCCGAGTTGTCGAACATTGCCTGGGAAGTCGTAGCCCAGTTGATTTTCTGCTAGCGGCCCCAAACATGCATTGATGAACGTCTTGATATTGCACGCCGAACAGCTTGCAGAAACCCTGAACTTCCGCTGAGAAAAATAAGGATGGAAAAGGATGACCTGGGTCAGCAGGATGCGCAAGCCCAGTCCATTCCCCTTGACAACCGAATTTCCCCCAGCAATCCCAGACAAGGTAGACTCAATAGACACAGCCCGTCTCTCTCCAGGTGTGCAGTTCTCAGAGGGCTCCCACACTCCAAACCGTGATCGCAGCGGCTCAGACCATCCACAGTTGCCCCTAAGCTTCAAATGACGAGCTCGTGACACTGCGCTAGACGGTGGCGAAGCGAATCCCGCTAACACTTTTCCACTCTAAACAAGGTCTAGAAGGAAAAGCCCATGTTGGCTGTTAAGCAAATCAGCGGGAACCAAAGCTTTTGGTAACCAACTTCGGCCACTGGATCAATACGAAATCCAACTATGTCAATCTCGCGCAGTGCTCCTAGCGGCTCAACCCAGTCACACAAATCATGCTCTCGCCTAGGCCCAGACCCAAAGTGCAGAAAAAACAAGGCACCCCGTGACCAGAAGCTGATCTGAGATAGGTCCATCTCAATAAAAGGCGTCAGAGCTCTATGTTCAGATGACGAGCACCATGTGTCACCTGAACGAGACTCCCAGCGTCTCGATGGCTCATCTGCTGGGTTTTCTTTCGAGGGCATCCAGGGGTAGAATACTTCATGCCCACCACCAAGATTGATGGCGCACATCCTACGCCATCTGCTGTTCAGCTGATGAGAACTTGACCGGCCCTTGCTGAAACACCCTGCGCACGCTGCAGAATCCAGCGGGCGCACGAACCTGCACCCGTCATCAACCGGCCTGCGCAGGCGATCTTCCGCCGCCCAGGTAACCGCATCAGCCTCGCCAAGTGTAATATGAGCCGGATTCCATGGGGCCCAGCTGTATGCCATTTGACGCGTTCAATGGGAACGCGAACCCGCCTAAGTGGGCACCTGTGATCTGCTGTCAACCCAATACTCCATGGTAGCTTCATGGTCGCTGTACCTGGCCAGCGTTTGCGCCACATGTTTTGGCGCAATACCCCAAGCGCGCCCTAGCCTAGTCATGGACGAATCTGCGCGTTCAACACAACAGCTCCATAGGTTGAAGCTACCAAAAGGCAGAAGCATTGCAGACATAACCAGTTCAACCCACACGGCATCCGGCAACCAGACTAGGTCGCGCCTTCGGCCACGCACTGATGTGAGCCAAGAATAGGCGCACTCGAAGACCGACCTCGTGCAGGGCCGGGCGGAACGCACGAACCCGAGCTTTCGGATCAGTCGGTCCACCATACCAACTGGAACCCGGCGGGCCTGCAAGACATGCACTGTAGCCTGGAAAAGATGCCTGCGCCTCTCTGGGCTTCCTCACCCAAGGAAGAGTCAACCGATTTCTTCAAATTAGCACCGCCTGTTAATTCTCAGACAGTGGAAATAATGGCGGGCGTCACGCTTCGATACCAGGATCACTCCAGTTGACGGAACTGTCAGAGAGCGTAGCTTAGGGATATAAGCAAAACGTGGGCGAGGTGGCTTTGCAGGATCAATCAGTTGATTGACGCTAGGATCTGTAATGACTCTATCTTCATTGTCGTCCTTTTTCACGGCAAAAGCCCCAGCCAGACACATCACCCCTCGGTGCCTCGCCACCTGATGAGGCTTCTTGAAGCAATGAAGTCCAGCCTTCACATTGCGCTTTACCAGCTCTGGATATGATTTTGCCACCCACGTGTAACCTCGTTTAACACGCCGCGGCCTCCGCGCCTGGACGGTAGAACATCAGCAGCTTTGGTCGGAACACCCCCTCTCACACCCAGAGCTAACACCACCCCGCTACCAGAGTAATGTTCGGACTGCTTTAAATAGTTGTCAAGCCCTTCACACGACAAAAGAGGCTCATGAGTCAACACCATTGCCTCCAAGGCACAAGCTATCCGAGCATGTACCCGCCGATGGGCTGCAGATAGCACCGGCCGAAGATTGCCGCCATCATGCCCCCGTGCAAATTATTGAAAATGGCTATCACCAAGTTGGCCCCCTCCACAAAACCTGTACATGCTTCAGGAAAATGCGCCGCTTCATCCACAATGACGTTGCCATCTTGACTTAGCGGCGGTAAAGGAAAAAAGTGCCCTGGGGAATGCATCACGCGCTCTCCCGTTTCCACTTGAATTCATGTAAAAGGTGACGCAGACGATGGACATGCGTTCCCAGAGGGCATGACCTGTGCTCTCCACTCAAAGCCCTGGCCAAGCCAGCCACAACCTCTGAGTAGAACCTGCCAAACCCATCCGCAAGGCTTTTCTGCGGGTTGATCAATTCTATCGCCTCTGCTTTCTCCCAGCTGCCACCTTTCATCTGTGCCGCTTGGATGGCAAGGATTCTTTGACCCGTACGACCTCTTTGCGGTTCACCGAATCCAGGATCTCTGCGAAGGTCAAGAATTGCTTCAAGTCCCGGATCTCGCTGAGTCCTGTGAACTGCTGCGACCAAGCCGCGCTCGAGCTGAAGGATTCACGGCAGGACAGAAAGGGAAGCAAGAAGGACAAGAAGTCCAAAAAGAAGAAGAGCCGCAAGAAAGACAAGAAGAAGCAAAAGAAACGCAGTACCAGCAGCAGCACCTCGAGCAGTCGATCTCGCAGCCGCAACTGCAGTCGATCTCGCAGCCGCAACTCAAGCTCTTCGACATCCAGCACCAGCTCAAGCGGCAAGAAACCGCTGAGGTGGAAGGAGAAGCCGAAGAACAAACATGTAAGTTACGAGGATCTATCTCACGTGGATGGGCTCAAATGGAAGAAGAAGGGGGACCTGGTGGCGTTTGCAGCCAAACATTCGGGTGCTCTGATGGCCCACTTAAGCAGGTGTTTTCGCCCGTCTGTCAAAGGGAACTTTGACTCGATCGGATCAGCTCCGGGAGGCATCAGTAGCACTGAGATCCATTTGGCCGGCGTTGTTGCCACCACTGGCGCCTCCGCCATGAAGCCCCAGCCCGGCTACCGGCTGCGCCACTTGCCCCCGCCACGCCTGGCGCCCCGACATGAGCCGGAGCCACTGGCATCTGCACAGGAGGTGGCACTGCCTCCAACCTGCCGGCTGACCCCGCAGTGTTTACTGCATGGCTGCCGGCTGCATGCTGCAACTGCTGCACGAGCACCGTGCCATCGAGAACTACCTGTCGAGATTTTGCCGCATCTTTGAACCAATTGGCTTGCGTCCCCAACCATAACTGACTGGCTCATGTGACCCGCAACTGGCAATATCACAGCGCAGCTCCACTCTCCTCCATCCTCGGAGGTGGTACGCGTCAGGATCTCCCCTTGCACTGGTCCATGCCCGACCACATATACCTCGTCGTAGTGTGGAGGCCTGGAAACCACGGCAAAACTGCCTAGGGTAAGCTGCTGCCGCTGCCATTTTGTCGCAGGTTAAGCGTGACTGTTCTGATCGATTGTATTGCAGCCACCAGTCGAGGACCACCTGCAAACACCAGGCACCGGCTTGATTCCAGAGGGTTAACGTTGTTGTCGCGCTAGCCAGCAACAAACACAGCACCCTCAACACAAACAGAATCAGCAGGCGCAAGCACAAAAGGACAGGGGGAGCCACTCCAGCAGGAGTATTGCGCCCCAGGAACACGTTTCGAAGGGCTTGCCTAAAGGTATCGAAATGTTCCTCTGAGGCCACCAACTGATGTCCCAGAAATGTGACTGCCTCCTTGACGACAGCTTGCGCAAGCCAGTATCGCCAACTCTGATGCACAGCGACACCCGCAAGACTGGTAATCGCAGCAGGCTCCGCGATGCGGAGAGACATCAACCTACTTGACCTTTCAAGAGCAGCTTGAGCAATGGAAATGACCAAGTCATGGTAACTTGCTGTGCATGAAAGAAACGACTAGTTGAAACACTGCACAGCCCTTTTCACGAATGCAAAACGGAATCCTGGCCTGCCACGGCTTCCGCAGTCGCTCTTGCCCAAGCCTGTCCTGTGAAATGCAAAACGAGTTGCGAGCCTTGTATTAATGGGGCGAACCTCGGACTAATTGCGCGAGCCTTGGACTAAAGGGGCGACTATATAGTTCAATCAGAACTCCTCACACCCTTGGACGAATAGGGCGAGGCTTGGATAACGGGGAAACTATGAACCCTTGCACTAAATGGGGCGACCTTGGACTAATCCGGCAAATATGATATTGAAATTGTATCAGAACTCCTCACCCCCTTGGACCTTGGACTAGTGGGCCGAGCCTTGGACTCGGGCGAAGCTAGCCGATCAGCCGAACAGTCGATCGGACAGCAGCCGATCAGGACCGAGCTGACCAACGCGACCAACACGACCGACCGACACCACCAACTCGACCAATACGACCAACACGACTGACACCACCGACACAACCAACAAGACCCGCACGACCCGCTCAGCTGATCGGCCGATCTGCCGATCCATCAGCCGGTCAGCTGATCAGCCGCTCAGGAGCCAACCGACACGACCAATATGACCGACATGACCGGCACGACCCACCCAGCCGATCAGCCGGGGACCGAGCTGACCAAAACGACCAACACGACCGCCACCCGGCCTGGTTCCCGCCCCTCGTGGGTTCCCGACTTGTTTTTGCGGGTTCCTTATACGCGGTTTCACGACTCGCCCCTGCTGAGCCTGACTTGCCCAACTTTCGGAACCATGTGGCCGAGGCGACGCGTGGGGTTCGGCGGCGAGGAGGAGAAGAGCTCGATGGTCAAACTCAAGTTCCAGCGCTCGTCCGAGAGGATGCGCTGGATCCGAGGCCTGGGAAAAAGCGTTAACCGTTAACACCTTCATGCCTATTCATTGATTCATGCGCTCCTTCATTTCGCCCTCATTCCTGGGGCCGGCACGGTCGTCGGGGTGGGGCCTCGCAAAACAAGCGTATACCTTCTCAAAGTGAAAACTTGAATCCAGCATTCCAGTTCCATTTCGAGGTGCAAAGGCTACCGCCAGCGGCTCTGACATGCCACCTGCTGAAATTCCGCAATCTCTCTCGCTCTTCAATCTCTCCGCAAGCTGCACCAGCTGCATTTCCGTGGGAAATTTCTCGGGGCGCCAGCCGGCCCAGCGGCAGGGGTGCGCACGGGCGCGGTCCAAAGCGCAAAGCCGGAACCTCCCAAGCATTCAAGCAGCTCAGTGACCCCCTTGCGTCCACATCAAAATCCTAGCGAAGCTCAGTTTGCCTCAGCTCCTCTCTGCACTCTGTCAGACTCTCTGCACTCTCTGCCCTCGCTCCCCTTGCCTCACTACGTCCGGCATGCGCCCCGAATGCGGCTGGCCCAGTGCAGGTAAAAGCGCGGCAACGATTGCCTTGTGTGCCAGAGAAGCGGCTCCTTCGCTGCTACAAGGTGCTTTAACCACCTGCGAAGGTTCGGGGCATGCATCTTGCCGCGAGCCCTCGTTCCCGGTTCCTGACAGATCCGTCAAGCACAGGTTCACCAAGCGCAACTCGAACGCCAAGCTGCGCCTGGCTGGAGGCGGACTACGTTGGGCACACGCTTCCAGGCGCCTTCCTGTATGGAGACGCAAGATGAAGCACTGGGCAAAGTTTTCCCAAATATTTGAGTCACTTTGCTGGCCTCCCGGCGCGGCCAACTACCCTGAAAGTCCCGCAGGGCGGAGCCCACCTCTGGAGTTTGGGTTGTAGCTGTGCCCACGGCACATCACAGCACATCACATCACGCCGCCTCCGGGTCGTAGTGCGCCCAGGTAGGGGCACAAGCTCGGTACTCCAGCACGTAGTCACTGCGGTCCTGGCTTTCCCTTCCCTTTTCCTTCCTCCCCTTTTCTCTCACTCCCCGCTCCCCCGGCTCTCTCCTCAATGCTCAGCAAGACACCACGAAACCCGGGCTGCAGCAAGCTTGAGTCTGAGGCCTTGACTCAAACACCGCAAACGGCAAACAGACAGAGTGAAAGCTTCGCTCACACTCCGCTCACTGCCACGACGGGACCTCCTCGACCTCGGACCAGGCCACCTTGCAGCGAGCAAACGGCAAAGGGCTCAGCTTAAGCTTTCCTTCTCTTACACTCTCGTTTTTGCTTTCTGCGATGTTTGAGGATTGGGAGGACTCTAGGCCTTGCTCAGATTTGCTCCCCATTTGCTCCCCAGCAGCGTACTCTTCATCCCTTGCAGCCCTCCTTTTTGCGCCTGGCGCTTTCTGTCTTTGCCTTCTCTCGGCCAGTGTCTTTTCGAGTGAGAAGACATCGATCGAGCAACTTCATGGCACAGCCGCTCCCCCATCCTCGCCATGTTTCGGCGGCCCTCTTTTCTGAGATGTTGGTTACCTATCCAGGTTTCCTCTGAGTGCCTTCGTGAGCCCGAGCTCCCCCAGCTCCCCAAGCTCCCCAAGCTCCCGAGCACAGTGCTCAGTGCCAAGAGCCCTCAGGAAGTTTTTTGAGGAAACGTGCAGAAGCTTGAGGAGTACCTCGCCTCGCGTGGTGGTCCCGGCGCGTTCTCGCCACCGGGTGTCTCCACCTCACTTGAACAGCGCAGCTGAACCGAACAGCAGAAACAAAGCAGGGAGGAGGAAGACACATGTTCTGCACTAGAGAACACTTCCTCCGAATGCTAACATCTCCATAACCCGCCCTCCATCCAGACATGTATCGAAATTCAGACAACCTTCTCACGACCAGCTTGCACGTAACCTCACGACAACCTTCCATAAGACCTCACCATCCCAGACACTTCACAACACTCAGCCATCCGATACCTCATGCCATCCTTTCTATCATGCCATCACGACATCCATCCATGCATTAACGATAACGCCATGCAGCCATGCAGCCATGCATCACAACATCTATCCACACATCAAAGATAATGACAAGCTTCTAGAAGAGCACCGGCCCGCTGCAAAACTGCGCAACCCCTTCGCCCTTCGCCATGCTTTCGGGAATTTGAGACGGGGAGTCTCAGATCTCTGTGCTCTTCGTGCCTCTGCGGTGAGCTTCGGGCCCAGGAGCGGCCCGAGGCCCTCGGACTTCTCCCGGCCCTCCGGAAAGAGACTCGACTCGCTCAACCTCTCCGTAGCGCTTCTTGTGTTTGTGGCGCCGGCCTCGGTGTGGCTCCGGGGATAGAGGCCCGCTCCCGCGGGATACCGGGCGGCCACCTAGACTTCAGGATTACTTCTAAATGCTCAGAAACTTTCAGAAACTTTCAGAAACAGTCAGCTCGCGGCGGAGAGGCAGTAGCTGGTCCATGGGAGCAGCCCGGACAGCTCCACCTGGTTGCGTCAAGTCATTGCTTGTATATTCTAAGACCCTCCTCACAGTAGACCATAAGAACTCCTTAGGTGGTTGACGCTCTCTATGGATATCGAGACATCTGTCAAATGATCCTCTTCGGTCCGACAAACTTCGGTCATACCCGTACGGCAGAATCCTAGTTTTCCTGACAGCAACCCTTCTCCCTTTTGAATTTCCCACCAACCCACACCAACTGACACCAACCCACAACCTCGCGAAGGAGGGCTCGTGTTTTTCCCATCCAAGCACATCCACAGGGAGGGGTCCGAGGGCCCTGTTCTTTCCTGGTGCCAGCAAGCGCGTGACCATACATTCAACTTGAGGGGCGAGCCGAGGCCAACGAAAGCTAGCCAGGCTTTATGTAGCATGGAGTAGGACTGAGTAGGGTAGAAGAGGAGGAGGGAAGGTACGTGCCAGCAAAAAGCACAAACCTCGTCAAGGGGCTTGGAAAACCCATCGCAAAACCTCGCCAACTCGACTCCAGTGTCCACTTCTGCTTGCACTCCACTTTTCTTTCAAGCTTTCTCAAAAACACTTTCCCCATTCTCCCAGTCTTTGCTCCACGTTTCACTCCACTGTCCAGTCTAACTCTGATCTTACTCTGGACTCCACCCTCACTCCAGAGATCACTCAGTTTCCACTCCACTCTTATTCATTTTCTGCATCACTCACCACTCCACT